TTCCTGATCCCCCGAGAGGCAATCAGATATTCCCTGGATCAACTTTACCTATAAATGTTAGTATCCAGTTATATTCTGTGTATCTAAGAAATAATCCAGGCCTTTTTTAAAGCAATCCACTGGGCTGGCCAGAACCAACTCTTGAGGGAGTTTATTCCACATTTTCACAGCTCTCACTGTGATTGCTTTGAGTTTAGCTTTAATGGTTATTCACATATCCATGCTGCATCGAGTTAACGAATTCATGATAATGCATCTTGTGTCAATAATGGATATATTTCTGTCATATTATTAATTTTGAATGGGTTGTCAATGCGCCACAATGTGAATGAGCCCTTCATTTTTCTCAGCAATGTTAACCACTTTTATGACATGCTGAATGCCAGTGAATATTCAAAGTGGTGAATGTGCTGTGAGTTTTTAATGTACAGTAGGTGCTTTTATAGATGAATGTGTGCTGACTTTCTATAGATAGCACACTATGTAGATGACTTTGACTTAACATGCAGTTTGATTGTCTCTTCTTGGAAATTGCCCTTTATCCTTTTATCGGAATATAATGAATTAATGCACATTCCTCTCTAGAAACCTTTATCTAATATTATTTAGCTTACAGGTATAAACAAAACACCTATTCTTTTATATAAATTTCACTTAATCTCATCTAGTGCATTTTTGGTATTTTATTCCTCCTATTTTGCTTAAACACCCTCTCATTACACTGTCTTTACTTACAACTGCCAGTCAAAACGGCTTCTGGCTCAAGGCAAGAAGAGACTTTATATTAAACCAGCCCTGTCACAAATAAAAAAAAAAAATAAAATGGGCATATAATGATCATGATTATTATTATTCCTCTCCTGAGATAACAATGCAAATTTTGAGGATGTTGGCAAACTCCCCTCCGCGGCATAAACTTGTACATGTGCATATATGTGAAAGTGTCAATCATTTACCAAAACTTATTGCGTGCTGGTTTGATCATGTCCCCATGACCAACTGCCATACCAGATTTCTGGATACCTTTAGTTATAATATCCAATCACAATCAACCTGACAATTTTGCTACAGCAGGTTGTAGCAGGTGCAGGTATTGACTGAAGATGGCGCTGTGTCAATGCTACAAGGTAAGAGGAACCTGATGTTAAATTGTCCCAATGTAGACTCTGCTAGTTCTGTCTGGAAAGGCAGGTATCTGATGTTCAATTACCACGAGAGTTCAGGTGGCCATCTTAATGGGGGATCCTTTAAATAGGGAATCTCATTTGGGCACACTCTGAGCGAGTGGCAGGGAAAGGAACCTGCTTGTTAGGGACAGTGCTTATCTCAGAGAAAGGTTCCTGGCAAGCAGGGACAAAATAAGGGACACTGTCTGGTGTCATAGAACTTTCTGAAGATCCCTGGCAGTAGGCTAGTGCAGCCTGGGTATACAGCCTTTCCCACCCCTTACACAACCCGACGCTCCAGTGAGTGCTAAAGGGGCAAAGAGGAGAGCCAGTGACTGACAGTCATGGCTCTCTGCTCAGAGTTGAAAGGTAAAACTGAGCGATCAGCAGTGTTTGATCGCTCAGTTCTCACTGCAGAGTTGGCAGGGGACAGATGCAGCATTGGATCATACTCCATAACTCATTCATAGCAGCTCTGCTTTCTATACTAGTGAGCTGTGATTGGCATACAGCTATCAAATCGTACCTGGGCCAATCACAGCACCCTGTACCGTGTGATTAACTGTTGCCAATCACAGATTAGCAGTAATCATAGCTGTCATGAATGAAACTCATTCATGATATTTCAAAGCATTACTGGTACAATGATCTTCATTGTAACAGCAATCAAAGTGTAGAAGAAAAGTATGTAAAAGTAAAAATAGTATAACATTTAAAAAAAGTTTAATAAAATATTTAAAAAATTGAATACATTATTATTTAAAAAAAAATTTTTTTTAGTTCTTTTTTAACATATTGCCACCAGTCAGTATAACTTATCACTGCCACATCAGTCATATGATGAAGCTGCACTGCAATGGTGATAGCATGTGAAAAAAAATTGTGAAAAAAAAAAACATTTTATTTAATTTCTTAATTTTCCAATAAAAGTCCTAAAAAATTGCAACTTCAAAAAACTCTCCATGCCTCTTACTACATACCTCAGACTGTCTACTTTCCAAAAAGGGGTCTGTTTGATCACCTTTCAAATATATACCAAAGTCTGTAGATGCTTTCACACAAATCAACTTAATATACACTTATGTGGATTTTTTTTTGCAGAATGCATGTTGGCCTAAATTTATGAAGAACTTTGATTTTTTTTATTTTCATTGGATATATTTTATTACAGAAAATATAAAATATTGTTTTGGTTTTTTTTCAAACTTTTGATCTTTTTTGTTTACATAATAAAAAATAAAAAAACCCAGTGGTGATCAAATGCCACCAAAAGAAAGCTCTATTTGTGTGAAATTTTTTTTATAGATTTCATTTACGTACAGTGCTGCATGATCGTGCAATTTCCATTTAAAGTAATGCAGTGGTGAATAGCAAAAAATGGCCTGGTCATGAAGGGTGCAAAATCTTCCAGAGCTTAAGTGGTTAAGCTTCAAGCAGGGAGCAGCACATTTACAATCAGTAGAATATGAGTCTATGCACTTTAATATTATATAAAGGCTGCAGTGTATTATACACAAAAGTAATTTGTCCAGCTGATTTTACAACCCTTCTTATGTTGGCTTCTTTTTCCTTTTTCTTGTGGTATATAAAAAAAAATAAAACACTTTACTAAAATAAATACCTATTTTCAAAATCGAATCTGTGCAGGAGCTTCCTGTAATAAAGACCAGTCACTGCTGCTCTCTTGTCTTGTGCAGGGTGACTGGTCTTGTTGCCCGCCCCCTCTTGTAGTTTACTGCAGCCTGTAGTAGGTGGACTTGTCTAGTCCCTCCCACAGTTCTGCTCCCTGTACAGGATTGTGCAACACAATGATGCAAACAATGATGCAAACCATGTCTTTACAGATCCTACTTTGTGTAAAAGGGGACAGTCATTGCAGAACAGAAATGGACCTTCCTCAAACTGTTGGCACAAGGTCGGATTTGTGCAATTGTCTAAAATTTATTTGTATGCTGTAGCATAAATGGTACCCTTCACTGGAAACAACTGAACTTAAAAATGTGGAGGGGTGTCTACATACTTTTAGGATGTCAATGCAATCATAGCACAGTGGCTAAATGGCTAGCACTTCCGTCTGGCTGTACTAAGAGAGTTGGTTTGAATCCCAACCATGGAACCACCTGCCTGGAGTTTGCATGTTCTCCCTGTGCCTGCGTGGGATTCCTCCAGTTTCCTTCCACACTCCAAAGACATGCTGGTAGGTAGGATCCTGTCTAAATTGGCCCTAGTATGTGTATGTATGAATGTAAGTTAGGGACCTTAGACTGTACACCCCTTGAGGGTTAGGGACTGATGTGAATGTACTATATACAGTATATGTAAAGCACTGTGTAAATTGACAGTGCTATATAAGTACCTGAAATAAATAAATAGATGTGATAGTCAAGTGTCTTCAAACTTTTTGGCTATATGGTGCTGGAGGATAGATTGCAAGTTGTAGCTGATTATTTCCAGTTCTTTGAGTTATCAGTGCAGAATTGTTGGATGAAGAGAATTTTAAGATATCACCTTATCATTGTATATGCCTTCGTTTACAGCCAGATAAAAGAGTTTACACCCCTAGGAATGGTGCTATGGGTGTTTTAATCCCTGTCTACACTTGACTATTATTTTGTTGGCAGCATAGTATATAATCAAAAAATGACCTTAAGCACAAGTGGTGCTGTCAGTGTGTTATCTGTGCTGTAATCTGTTGGTAGCTTCATGTATATCCATCCAGACTTCGTGGATTATCATATAATGAAGGTTATCATTTTTTGCAAGCCAGCAAGCTGCCATGCTTCCAGTTTTTACAGACCCTATAGCTTCCTCTTATTCTAACTGTAATTGTAGTGTAGAAGTACAGCTAGTGATGTTGAAAGTGCTATTCCTATACATCATTCTGACATCGCTGTAGCTTTTTCCTTTCTTTTCTGTTTGATCCTGATATTTTGATTCACAGAACCTACCATATTATTCAATTATTTTTTGATAATGACAGATGAAAGGGTTATGACAGACCTCATAGACAGAACAAGATGGGCATTTGTTATGGAGCATTTTAACTGCCAAAACGTTTTTTCTTCCAATAAAACATTTTTCACAATAGGACAGGATTGAGTGAAACCTATAGAACCACTGCAGCACAGCATCCCAACTTGCCTTTGTTGTTATTAGCCAAGCACCTAGAAAACTAAAATTTTTTGTTTTATTTATTTAGTGACTTCACTGAAAAATAGTGTATTCAGTCAAAATGAACAACAAGAACTATGATATTGGGAGAGTACATGAATACTCAGATACCAGAGGAAATGGGGTCACATAATTGTCAATTTTGTTTCCTTGTTTTTCATGTTGTCAAACTGTTTTTGTTTATTTTTTTTATCAGAATTGTTGTCTTACAAATTAACCACTTGCCCTCCAGAGGATTTACCATCCTTCCTGACCAGACTATTTTTTTGCAATACGGCGCTGCGTTACTTTAACTGACAATTGCGCAGTCATGCAATGCTGTACATAAATGAAATTTGTGTCATTTTTTTTTCCCACAAGTTGAGCTTTCTTTTGGTGGTATTTGATCAACTCTGTGGTTTTTATTTTTTGCGCTATAAACAAAAAAAAGCTGTCAATTTTGAACAAAAAACCCCCAATATTTTTGACATATCCATTAAATAAATAAAATTTCTTCATAAATTTCGGCCAAAATGTATTCTGCTACATGTCTTTGTTAAAAAAAAAATCCCAATAGGTGTAAATTAATTGGTTTACGTGAAAGATATAGCGTCTACAAATGGTGGTATATATACTGGGATTTTTTAATTTTTTTTTATACTAGTAATGGCAGCGATCAGCGACTTATAGCAGGACTGCGGCAGGTATTCTGACACTGGGTGGGAACTGACTAACAGCCACTGACATCCCCAGTGACACTAATACAGTGATCAGTGCTAATAAAAAGCACTGACACTGTACTAATGACACTGGGCAGGAAGGGGTTAACATCTGGGGCGATCAAAGGGTTAACTGTGTGTTGTGTTGTGCTTACACTGTGTGCTGTGTGCTGTTTTACTAGGGAGACATGTTGCTTTCTCTCTCTCTGCTGTGCAGAGAGAGAGAAAGCAGCATGTCCATGCTGACAGGAAAGAGATCTATGTTGTTTACAACCAGATCTCTCCCCGCTCAGCTTTAGCAGCAATCACTGAGTGCCGGCCAAGAATTGGTGATTGACATCTGCTGCAACCAATGGCAGTGTGGGTAGAGTGGCACACGCGTGCACCCCCTGCCCGGAAATACAAAATCACGTATATGTACGTGATTTTGGGCAGAGCGGCCACCCTGTAGCAGTATATCTGTTATAGGGCAGTAGGTAAGAAGTTAATATTACAGGGTACATGCATGTCAAAGGATTCCCAGAGCATCATTGCTTTCTAAATAGAGAGCACAGGAGGAAGAGTTTGTGTGTCTCTCTCTCTCTAATTGAAACTGATAAAGACCTCTTTTTACAGCAGGAGAAAAAGGACACTTTCCTGTAGGGTATAGAGCAGGGGTATCAAACCCAATTTCTTTGAGTGCCGCATCAGCATTATAGTTGCCTTCAAAGGGCCAGTTGAATCAGTAAAACCGTACAAATGTATCTACTCTATATCATTTTAAATAATTGCCTCTGCAATTGGTTATGATGCAATTGGTTATAGGGTATAGAGCAGGGGTGTCAAATCCAATTTCTTTGAAGGCCGCATCAGCATTATAGTTGCCCTCAAAGGGCCGGTTGAATCTGTAAGACCATATAAATGTATCTACTCTATATAATTTTAAATAATTGCCTCTGCAATTGGTTATGATGCAATTGGTTATAGAGTGTAGAGCAGGGATGTCAAACCCAATTTCTTTGAGGGCCGCATCAGCATTATAGTTGCCCTCAAAGGGCCGGTTGAATCTGTAAGACCATATAAATGGATCTACTCTATATCATTCTAAATAATTGCCTCTGCAATTGGTTATTATTGTAATCACTTAAAAGAGAAGTGTGAACTTTTAAAAAAAACAAACTCACATACTCACCTAGGTGGATGAAGCATCAGTCCGAGGCTGGGCCAGCTGCGGGTCAGGCATCTGGGTAAATCCTGACTTTAAATGTGGGATCCCTCTGAACCATCTGAGTGACATCAGCTGATAGAAGATTTTAGCCTGCTGCCGGCTGAATATGAGTCGCAGGAGTGCAGAACAAAGTACAAGTGGTTAATCATCAGACAAATATTACAAGCCCTGTTTATTACATTAACCAGGGGAGGCAGAGACAAGGGGGTGCTGTGGTTGCACAAAAAAGGGCAGAAACTGTAGGAAGAGTTCTGTCTTTTTCACTGCCGCCGATTGTTATGACAAGGTGGAGGTAGAGACAAGTGGGGTGCAGCAGCAGCAAGAGAGATGCGGGGGCCACATGAAATGGCCACGGAGGCCTCATTTGACCCATGGGCCTTGTGTTTGACACATGTGGTGTAAAGTCACTGCTCTGATTCATTTCCATGCGTAAATTTCAAATGGGCTACTGATCTCTGTGAACAGGCTTTTTGTTTTAACAAACACAGGTGTTTATAGCCTGGAAATTCTTATGCACATGCAGCATGTTCATATGCACTATTACCTATTCTGCAAAACTCCTAAAGGAAGCCCCAAGGTACCTATGTATGTGATCAAACGAAATAATATATATATCGGGAGTCCCTAGACACAAAACCATTTGAGAAACTACCAAAATTTGACTAGTTATGGACTCAAGCGGAATAGGGAATTTGAATTTGTATTAATGTAAATACTAAAGGATAATGATTCAAAAAGGAAAAAAAGGTGATCAATGGCACACGGAAACTTCTTTATTGACAAAGACAAAATTAAAAGTAAAAAACAAAACACAAAAAAAATCGTACCACACTCCACAGGTCCCATGTATTTAACTCCTCTAAGGGGATACCCATTAATAATAAATTGGTTATTAGGATGGCTCACTCATAAGCTATAACTAGAGATGAGCGAATTATTCAAAAATTCGATTCGGCTGATTTGCCGAATTTGCGGAATAAATTCGATTCGATGCGAATTTATTCGCTGCGAATTTAACTTATTAAAAGGGTTTCTAGGCTTCAGAGAGCCTTTATATTAGTGCAGAACACTGTACCTTTAATTTAAATGCCCTTGGAGTCTGCTGGGGAAGAGAAATAATACTGTCAGTCAGTATGACATGCAGATGAGTGCCGTCGATCTTAGAATCACCGCACACTTCACTCATTTGGGCAGTCACGGGGCCAAAACCAGAGTGTGGAGCCACAGTGTGGCGGTGGAGGCAGCAGCAATGGGAGGCCATACAGCACCCATGACAAAATGGAACCCACCAGCAGTGTGAGGAGACCTGAAAGTGGCACATGGCAGAGTGTGGCGATGGAGACAGCAGCAATGGGAGGCCGTACAGGGACCCATGACACACTCTGGACCTGGCAGCAGCATGAGGAGGCGGTACAGGGGCCCATGGCAGAGTGGCGAAGCGTAAGCAGCTTAAATTGAAGGCCATACAGAGGCCTATGTTAAAAAGTCCCCCCAGCAGCAGTGTGGGGAGACGACTATCAAGAGTCCAATAGCAGAGTGGCGGAGCAGAAGCAGCTTCAATTGAAGAAGAAGAGGATGAGGATGAAGAAGAAGAGGAGAAGAAAGAAGAAGAAGATGAGGATGAAGAGAGAAGAAGAGGATGAGGATGAAGAAGAAGAAGAGGAAGAGGATGAGAAGAAGAAGAAGAAGAGGATGAGGATGAAGAAGAAGAAGAAGAAGAGGATGAGGATGAAGAAGAAGATGAGGATGAAGAAGAAGAGGATGAGGATGAAGAAGAAGAAGATGAGAAGAAGAAGAAGAGGATGAGGATGAAGAAGAAGAAGGATGAGGATGAAGAAGAAGAGGATGAGGATGAAGAAGAAGAAGAAGAGGATGAGAAGAAGAAGAAGAAGAGAATGAGGATGAAGAAGAGGATGAGGATGAAGAAGAAGAAGAAGAGGATGAGGATGAAGAAGAAGAAGAAGAGGATGAGGATGAAGAAGAAGAAGATGAGGATGAGGATGAAGAAGAAGAAGAGAAGAAAGGATGATGAAGAAGAAGAAGAAGAGGATGAGGATGATGAGAGAAGAAGAAGAAGAAGAAGGATGAGGATGAAGAAGAAGAAGGAAGAAGAAGAAGAAGAGGAAGAGGATGAAGAAGAAGAAGAAGAAGAAGAGGATGAAGAAGAAGAAGAAGAAGAAGAAGAAGAGGATGATGATGAAGAAGAAGAGGATGAGGATGAAGAAGAAGAGGATGAGGATGAAGAAGAAGAAGAAGAAGATGAGGATGAAGAAGAAGAAGAGAAAGATGAGGATGAAGAAGAGATGAGAAGAAGAGGATGAGTGAGAAGTAGAAGAAGAAGAGGATGAGGATGAGAGATGATGAGGATGAAGAAGAAGAAGAGAAGATGAGGATGAAGAAGAAGAAGATGAAGATGGTGAGGATGAAGAAGAAGAAGAAGAAGAAGAAGAAGAAGAAGAAGAAGACGAGGATGAGGATGAAGAAGAAGACGAGGATGAGGATGAAGAAGAAGAAGAGAGAAGAAGAGGATGAGGATGAAGAAGAAGAAGAGGATGAAGAGAAGAAGAGAAGAGAAGAAGAGGATGAAGAAGAAAATGAAGAAGAAGAAGAAGAAGAAGAAGAAGAAAGAAGAAGAAAAGAAGAAGAAGAAGAAGAGGATGAAGAAGAAGAAGAAGAATGAAGAAGAAGAAGAAGAAGAAGAAGAAGAAGAAGAAGAAGAAGAAGAAAGGATGAAGAAGAATGAAGAAGAAGAGATGAAGAAGAGGATGAAGAAGAAGAAGAAGAGGAAGAGGATGAGGATGAAGAAGAGAGGATGAAGAAGAAGAAGAAGAGGATGATGAAGAAGAAGAAGAAGAAGAAGAAGAAGAAGAGGAAGAAGAAGAAGAAGAAGAGGATGAAGAAGAAGAAGAGGATGAGGAAGAAGAAGAAGAAGAGGATGAGGATGAGGAAGAAGAAGAGAGAGGATGAGGAAGAAGAAGAGGATGAGGATGAAGAAGAGGATGAAGAAGAAGAAGGAATGAGGATGAAGAAGAGGATGAGGATGAAGAAGAAGAAGAAGAGGATGAGGATGATGAAGAAGAAGAAGAAGTAGGATGAAAATAAGAAGAATTCCAGTACAGCAAAAAGTGTATCTGCAGAGAGCTCCGCTATTTCTGACAGTTCTCTGACAGTTCCTTCACATTTACAGCGGTTGAAACATTGTATCTATTTGTTTCCGAATAAAAACATCTGTATCCTAAATGGAAACAAATAGATACAATGTTTCAACCGCTGTAAATGTGAAGGAACTGTCAGAGAACTGTCAGAAATAGCGGAGCTCTCTGCAGGGACACTTTTTGCCGGCTGTAGAAGGGATGAAAATCGGCCGATCGGGGAAAATTCGATTCGTGCATCCGAAGTTTGCTAATTTTCGGATTCGGCGCGAATCGAATTTTTCCTAATATTCGAAACGAATTCCACTTCGCCAAGTTCGATTCGCTCATCTCTAGCTATAACATATTCTATATATCAAAATGTGCAAGTGGCATATAACAGAGTAAATATACTTCTACACCCAAAATTGACCAGCCAAGAGCGCCAGGGTGGGCCCAGCTCTAGACCAATCAAACACATATGATAATTAGTGTAATACAGGGAAGAATGCAACCAACCATACAACACTTCCCTCATACACTAAACAAACACCCCGCTAGGGGGTAGATTTATACACAGACCAGGGGAGGACATAAGGGACCAAACACACCTCCCCCCTGCACTGTAAGGTGTGAAGTTGTAACACAGCATCCTGTCCAAAGTAGGTGACCACATGTAGTCCAGAGGAGGATGTCAGTATTGTATAAAATACGTGTGAAGGCCATAACTCTCTCAGGTGCCAAACTGTAAGGCACCATCCAGGGGAGATCTTAACAGGCCACCATAACCTCCCTCATACATGACAGGGTCAAGGACTCTGAAAAATTTTTCCCAACATATATTGTTGGATGTTCCTGAAGGTAATTATGCTCCAAAGGTAGTTGGATGGAAAGTGCACTCCCTTTGGGGGATGTAAGATTCAATTCAGTTGGCATCTGCAAGATGATAAATAAATAAACAGTTCCTCGGATATGAGTGAGCCAGCATC